GGCCTGGCGCGGACCAGACACGGCGCACAGCACCTTGGTGGCCCCCGCCTCCAAGTAGGCCGAGCCCTTGGCCTGGCTCAGCAGCCCGGCGCGCGCGTACACGGGCCGCAGCCGCGTCGGGTCGCGGGCGGCGGGCGCCTCGTCCTCGTCGGCTGCGTAGAGCTGCGGCGGCTGCGACTCTTCGGGCCCGCGGATGCGACGGTGGTCCCCGGGCATGGCGGCGCCTGGCACCCACGCCGCTTCCGCCCGTCGGCTCGGCCTCGCGCGCCGGCTCTTCCGCCCGCTTAAAGCCGCGCGCCCGCGCCAGGGCTGTCGGGATACCGGCGGGCGGTGCCGCCCGCCCCCTGCCGTCCTGGAGGGAGAACGGCGAGAGCTGCCGAGCCACGGGGCCGCAGCAAGGACGCCCAGAGCTGAATGGATTGATGGATGAATGGACTGGCAGGCCTGCAGTAGTGGCACCTGGGCCGGCCCGGCTGACCTCTAGCCTCCCGGGCTAGGGCAATCCCAGGGCGTAGGTCTTTTTCCTATCACTTGTAAAGGTTGTAATTATTTTAATTTTGCGCTTATTTGTGTGACTATTTTATGTGTGTCCCCCACTGCCTTGCCCAAGAGGGCAATGACCTTTTGTCTTGTTCACGCCTGTATCCTCAGTGCTCTTGCTGGCATAAATGCCTGGTAAATAAGTGAATGGAACTGTCTCCCGCAGCGGACTGTGTAAGCTCTTTGTATCGCTAACGCTCCTCATGTGGCTCGTTGCTTGCGCCTCCCCCTGCCTGCTTCTTTCACACTCCAAGTGAGGACAGCCCCTCACCTCCAGGCCTGCTTGTGACAGCTGCTCTCTGCTGCTGCTCCCAGCATAGACCTGCCTTTCCTTCTCCCTCCACATCAGCAGGGCTGAGAGGGACCCTGGGCCCCAGGGCTGGCCTGTTCTACCCCGGGGACATGAAATCAGCCAGAGCTGGCACAGGCAAGCGGTACCTTTAACCTCCCCTCAAACTACTGTCTCCAAACCCACTGTCTTCAGACTTGGTGAATGGACTCAGGGCCAGGGCAGGGTCTCATGCTCACTGTCCATGTTTGGGTCAAAGAACTAGGAATGATGGGGCAGTTAATGGAAGGGAGGCAACTAATGCACCCCAGTACCTCCTGTACCAGAGAACGCCTCTGGCCTCACATCCGACCTCAACATCAAAAGGAAGAGGAAGAGGGACACAGGCCTAAGAAATGGAGAGGTTCCAAGAAAGGAGCCTCTCTCTGCTTCCAGTAACCCTGGGGATCATCTTCTGTTGAACTATTAATGTTTCTCTCCACCTGACCCCACCTGTCCTGAGGGCCACCTCCACAAACGTCTTGAGGCAATCCCAGGGGCTGTTCCCAAAGTTCAGGGGTCTGGGTCTGGGCTAGGCGGAGGACTGCAACCAGAAGCCAGCTGGAGCCACAGCATTTATTCCACAGACACCCAGGGAGCCACGCTGATACACAGGGGGCACCTATTGGCTGGCGGGGGGGGGGGCGGTGGCAGGGGGTTAGAGATCACACAGCATCATCAAGTATTGCACATGGTCCTTTTATTCTTTGCAGTAAAAATGATTCCTCCCTGCAGACCCAGAGCCTCGGGTCTACGGAAAACTATCTATAGACACGAGCATGACAATGATAAATAGCAATCCTGGAGTAGTGGTTCTAGACAGATGGCGCTGACATGGAGGGCTCAGGGCAGAAATGTAATGTGAGCATGGAGTCACAGGCCGGCTCCTAGGTAAGTTCCAGTTACTGCTGGGTTAGGAAGACAGATGGTGCTGTTTAAAGATCCCAAGATTCAAATGTCCTTGTGGTGGAGGGAGAGCTCCTGGCTGGACGGACGCACCTAAGTGAAGGGGAAACGCTTCCCAGTGGAAGCTGTCCCCCCCATCAGTTCTTTACATCTCCCAGACGGAGCTGGGCAAAGGAAGTGGCCAGCTGCAGCGCCTCCTGCAGGCAGCCCACGTTCTTGCCCGTGGCCTGAGCAGACACATCCTTGCCACCACCTTTGCCATCCATCAGGCCTGACACCTGCTGCACCCACTCACTGGCTTTCAGACCCCGATTGGCTGCATTCTGGAAGACAGGAAGGGGATGTGGGAGTCAGGGCAGAGGACAGGATTAAGGGAGACATGGAGAGGTGAGAGAGAGCAAAAGGATGGGGTAGACAGACACCCACTACTGTGCTAGGTGATGCTGCCAAAACTGACACAGATCCTACAGCTGGTACCACAGCCAGGACGAGGCATACTGAATGGCAAAGCCAGGTAGCAGCCAACACAGTTAAACATATCCACCAAGAAGAGGGCCTCAGGGTAAGGGATGCCGGAGAAGGTGACACACAGGTGGGCATGTGTAACAGGGCTTGCACAAACATACATGGGTCTTGGCAAACAACGGTAAGAAAAACCAAGCTCCCTCAGAAAAGCTACAGACACCACTTCCCACTGGCACAAGGCTGCGGGGCATTCTGACCTGAGGGACTTGACACAAGCACGTGATCCTGCCAGCTTCATTATCCACTGTGAAGAGCATGGCAGACGTCTGAGGGGAATGTGTCTTGAAGAGTTTCAAGGCTTCATTCAGGGCCTGCGGGGAGAACCTGGTGTCAGACCATGGCCCTGGGGAGGAGTCATGCTCTCCACAAGTGCAGCGAGTTTGCGGAGCTCAGTTCTCAGAGCACCCCCCACCCCTCACGCCCACCCCCTTCTAAGAGCAGGTGCTGGGCCCAGGAGCCTGTATGGAGAAGGACCCAAGTACAGGCCTTGCCCACGCTCTGCCTCTGAGGTTTGCCTTCTACCTCCAGGAGCCATAGCTCTCCAGCCACCAGATCTCTCCAGGGCTCGGCCTGACCTCAATCCCAGAGTGGGCCCTCAGGCAGCCACTCCGCTCAGAGCCACAAAAGCTCACACTTCAGCCACCAGAGGGCTGATGAGACCCCGAGAAAAGGCGACAAGCAGTGGACAGGCACAGAGCGGTGTCTGGAGCCCCAGCCCCTAGGTTGCCTTGGCCGAGGCACCGCTCTCCATCTCCAAGATGACAAGGGGCTGGTTGGGGTTGCTGTCAATGAGCTGCTTTGTCTTCTCCAACACCTGCAAGGAAGGAAATCCAGAAGAGAGGCCTCAGGTCAAAGGCCCAGACTCCGACACCCAGAGAGCAGTCTGCATAGCCTTTGCTGGGTAAATCCTCCCTTCCAGCCACCAGCACTACCAGGACTCACTCGCTTCTGGACATCAGCTTTGCTAGCCCGGTCTAGGTCATCCATGATCTTCTTTAGGGATTTGAGATTATCCCGGAATTCATCCTTCTGCCACTGGGGGAGGACTGCGGTGGCCAGGGCCTGGAACCAGAACCAGAATACCACTGGGTTCTGGACCACAAGGAGCAAGGATGTGAGGCTCCAGCCCACTCCATGCCTTTGGCTTTGAATACCAGAGTCCTCCCTGACTAGTATCCAGAAGGAGAGAGAAAACAGAGAACAAAAAGGTACCCACTGGCCTTGAGAGCAGTCACTTTATGAGCAACTGCAATAGTTTTAACAAGGGGTAGAGAGAAAGGGGCAGAATAAAGAGAGCTGGGATCCCCTATAAAACCTGGCCCCTAGCAGGCAGTGAACACAGCCTGTGATGGGCTAACAGGAAGCCCCTGAATATTAACAAACACCATGAGGCCTGGAAACAGTGGGCACCCACGGCACCTCCCCCAACTCTCTATACCGGTGCCCACTCATGCTTGGAATGGGCTCTCCTGCCATCGGCAATGGGGGTAGCAGGAGGTTTCAGGGGTCCATAGGCCAGGATCCATGGAGTCCCCTTTGCAAGGCTGCAGGACAACAGCAGTCAGTCCAAAGGCCCACTGCAGTGAGAATCAGGACCTGAGAGTTCCTCAAGAACAGGGAATTTCTGATTCATCAGACCTAGGACCCGGCACTCAGAGGACTCAGGAGGGAGAGAGGGAGGCTGCCCCTACCTCACCCAGGTCAGCGATCTCCCTCTGCACGTCCTTGTTGGGCGCAGTCTGGGCTTTCACTTTGGCTTCCATGACAGAGAGAGATTTCTTCAAGCTCTCTGCTTTCCTGAGGGCCTGCGAGGGGGATAATCAGCGTTGTCAAGTCCAGGTCAGGTAACTTTCAGCTCACTATTCTGTCTGTAAACAACTGTGGCAAGCACTAATGGCAGGCTACAGAACAACACACCCCAGGACATGAGAAGCTTCTCTTCTTTCAGAGAGCAAGTGTTGGCAGCCTCATGCCCCAGGCACCTACCTCACGCCTGGTCAGCAGAAAGGCTGCACTAACTCAGGTTCAGGGGGTGACCAAGAACTTGTGAGTCAGGAGCCCTTCTTACTCCATGAAACCACCCCCCTTCAGGCTTCGGCACGCATCAGGCACAGGCCATAGTCCCCACCCCTGGAGCAACTGATTCTGTCCTCCACGCATCTCAAATTAGGCACGTACCCCTAGGGAGATGTGGGTGAGTGCTAGGGGCAGCGGAAGCCACAGCAAAACTATGGCTGACCCTCCTACACAAGGATATATTATGGAATAGATGGCAGAATTTACATATATTTTTAAAGATTAAACATAAGATAGCTCGGAAGTCTTGTGTGGTGGTGGCTTTCTCCTGCCAGGTGGGGGTAACTGAGGATATTTCGAGGGTAGTACTGTACTTGCAGTTCTGACTGCAGCAGCCACATAACTGTCTGCACTATGGACTTGCAGACTGGGCTCCTCTTCCCTTGTTCAAATAAGCCACAAACCAGCCTGATTTGCTCACCTTCTGGGCTTCGGCACCTGTGACAGCAACAATCCTCCGGATGCCCTTGGCAATAGCTTCTTCACTCACAATCACAAAAGCTCCCGCATGACTTGAATTCTGCAGGTGCCTGATGCAGAACACAAAGTCCATGGTGACGAGGAAGCCCAGGGCCCTGGCCTCCTCACCGCAGCCTGGGAGCCCTTGGCTAGGGGGCACAAGCCCTATGAAGTAGTCGCTCCCAGGGAAGCTTCCCCAGGGACAGTGGGAAAATGGAATTTCAGAATACAGCTCTGGCTAGGAAGGGGAAGAGAGTCAGAGAAGGCCTGGGGCTGAGAGCATTGTGACACTGAGCAAGACACAACCTTTCTGAGCCTCGGTTTTCTCAGGTATAAAATGGGGATAATTCTCACTCACAGGACAGATGTGAAAATCAAACTAGATCAAATGAAAGTGCTTTGTAATCCCTAATACCCCATACAATATTACT